CGCCTCCGCGGAAGCGTACATAGCGATTTATCCGCTGCGTCGTGAAGAAGGTGAATTCTGCAAAGTTCATTAACTTCTCGCCAAGTGCGATACAAGATATCCCAGAATTTCCTGCGTGGCTCTACGACTGGATAATAAACGCCAAGAGTATCTTTCGTACGTACGAGCACGACTGGGATGTTACAGAAAATACTAAACCTGCCTATCGAAATAAACCATACTTACAAATACGTTATTCGATGTAATTATTAAATTAGAATTCCATCGTCTAATTGTATTTATTCTGTTTCAATGAAAAAAAAAACAGCTCTCGTAGAACTCTTTGAGAGAAATAGAACCAGAGATGTCGCGTTTCAAAGATCGAATAGTGCAAAATGGCGCTGGTCGAGGCAACGTAAAAATGAAGCACTTTTTCTTTCAAATTTCGAAACACCGTACCTCCGGTTCTACTCGTCATAAAGAATTCTACCGACATCTTTTTCATCGAAAAAACATTGAGACAAAGTTTATTTCGCATCTTTTTGCAACAATTCCGCAGTTTCGAAGACGAGACGCAAAAACTGAAACTCCCTTTCCGCGTGAGAAAATACGTTCAACTCGCGTCTAAATATTCCCATTAATGGGATTGTCTATTCCCCGCTATTGTACTGTTTAGTAGGTGCTCGAATTCGAATGCTTATTGATATTAGTATATTCATGCTCGTTATAACAACATTTCGTGTATTAATACGTTATTGGAAAGCTCGTTGTGCGATGTTTAGATATTAGTTGTACAACGATCGAAATTTCGCTTGTTCCTGCGCCATTATCGGGAAACAAAATTATAACACTCTAATTATAAATTCAATATACTGTTCGGGGACTGGCTCCGTCGCAACGTCGCCTCTTTCGAACAAAAGCTGATACAATAATGACGACGACGTCAAACGTGGATGAATGAAATTTGTTACGTTCAAAGGACCAGCATGCTATTGCAGAGGAATACAATTGCTTTCGGAACGATAGCTGAAGACCATAGATCAGACACGTCAAACTCGTTTTTGCTCGAGGACCAATTTGCACTTCACTTCCGTGTCGCGACCCGCAGATGTACAATTATTTTACCGCGGTCAAGAATAATTTATAGCCATTGTTCGGCTGTACTAGCCTTTACGCCTTCGTATCGCGATCGACCGTCATCGCTGTTGAAAAGAATATAAATATTTCCGCGATAATAAACGAAAGAAAGAATTCAAAGAAATCGAATCCAAGCGGGGAAATTTTATTGACGGTCACCGAGTTACAAAAACATTCGGTTCCCAGAAAGACTGGAGCCGGCTACGTTCGACTTTGCGCAGAATAAGAATAACACAATGTGAAACTTATTTGTTCGATATCTTTGCCAATACATTTGTGAGGTATTTCTGCTTGAAATAAGACCAATCACGATATAATCAACGTATTTAACTAGATTTTGTACTATATTAGAAATAGGTTAAAAACGAAGTATATGGTGTTTGGTCTTGTTTTAATCAGAAACCTCTCACAAATATATTCGTAAAAGTTGCATTAAAAAAAAATGAAAAATAAAAAAAGTTTCATTTTTGCATTATGTACTATATACTGTCTCGTGGACATTCGAGCCCAGATCAGAAATATTATGAAACTTTACTAATATCCATGAGGACCTCAAAAAATTTACCACAAACCTGGAACGGACCGTACGAAATTTAAAGAAAATGAGTCACGCATTAAGCACGTCCGCCACAGATGATGATAGTTGAAATTAGTTTTTGCCGCGGTTGTGAGTGAATAAATTGAAGTTTTGAATTGCGCGATACTTCCCGGGACACCTTGTTGGAAACTTTTTGCGACAGCCTCTCAGAACTCCCAACACGGAAACCTTATTTTTCCCCTCGTTTCGATTTCACGCGCGTATGCTTACTTCCGCCCGCTGTATGCAAATATTAATTTGTAGCGTCGAGCTGCTGGACGAATTGTTGCTACAATTGCGACTCGTGCTCACGGAACTGGGTTGCGAAAATTAGGATAACGAGGAAACGATCGAGGAACCTCGACGCTTCTTATCAAACTTACCAACCATTTTGCGTGCTTTTATTTTTAAACGGAAGATAGATCTTGCAAGCATTTATATTTCAGTCGTCTTCGGGTGGTAATAAACAATTTACAATTATGTGAAAAAATATTACAAAAACTACACGTTACATATTAATTCCTATTCCTATTTATCCATAAATATAAAATTGTAGAAATTTCACTTTTCATCGTTAGATACTAAATGCACGAGGGGAACGTTCGTTTGTATTGCGTGGAAGCACAGGAATGCAAGCTTCCATAAGATCAAAGAGGCTCCGTTCGGTAAACCGAACAGAAACTCGTATCGCGAGCTTCCGCGTCACCTTCTCCCCGAATGTTTGTAATTGTTTAAAAAGTTATAGACTTTGTCATTAACGAATTTATGGAACGATCTATAATAATACAATATAGAATATACAGGGTATTCGGCTACCCGTGGGAACAATTTTAATGGGAAATTCTAGAGGCCAAAATAAGACGAAAATCAAGAATATAAATTTCTCGATAGAGGCTTCGTTAAAAAGTTATTAATGTTTAAAGTTTTACCCGTACTGAATTTTTTTTCTCGAAAATGCGCAGGATTTTGGGGGTATGTCTATTCAACAAAAACGATTGTAATTGAGCCCAGCAACCGGAAATAATTTTTCCAGAAAGATTTGAAATTTTTTAATTTTGTCGAGAAATTTCATACCTTCTCGAATTTTTTTCTAGAAAATGGGTAGGATTTCGGGAGTATATCTATTCAACAAAAACGGTTGTAATTGATCCCTGCAACCGAAGATAATTTTTCCAGAAAGATTTGAAATTTTTTAATTTTGTCGAGAAATTTCATACCTTCTCGAATTTTTTTCTAGAAAATGGGTAGGATTTCGGGAGTATATCTATTCAACAAAAATGGTTGTAATTGATCCCTGCAACCGAAGATAATTTTTCCAGAAAGATTTGAAATTTTTTAATTTTGCCGAAAAATTTCATACCTTCTCGAATTTTGTTCTAGAAAATGGGTAGGATTTCCGGAGTATGTCTATTCAACAAAAACGATTGTAATTGATCCCCACAACCGAAGATAATTTTTCCAGAAAGATTTGAAATTTTTTAATTTTGTCGAGAAATTTCATACCTTCTCGAATTTTTTCCAAGAAAATTGGTAGGAATTCGGGAGTATGTCTATTCGCCAAAAATGCTTGTAATTAACCCCTATAACTAAATATAATTTATTTAGTATGATTTGAAATTTTTTAATTTCGTCTAAAAATTTCACTACCTGCTCGAATTTGTTTCTCGAAAGTGGGTAGGAATTCAGGGGTATGTGTATTCACCAAAAATGTTTGTAATTAAGCCCCGCAAACAAAAATAATTTTTTCAGAATGATTTGAAATTCTTTAAATTAATTTTTTAATAACTTATTAATGAAGTCTCAGTCAAGAAATTGATATACTTGATTTTCGTCTGATTTTGGTCTCTGCAATCTCCCATTAAAGTCTTTCCCAGAGGTGGCCGAACACCCTGTATATCAAGATATTATTCTCATCGATTTGAAGCATTTGCTCTGTAGCTCCACGAATAGAACACCATCGAACAACTAATCGCGGCTAAAGCAGGATGTGTTAAACGAAGCTTTACCGATGAGTCCAAGTCGCAGATCCGGGATTACGCGAAAAGGGATTCGAAACGTTTCTCCGTTTCCAAGGTACCACTCGCAGAATCAAATATTTCTACGCTTACACCGGATTAATACTTCGATACTAATAGCAAATTATCTCTCGAATTCGGTTACGTGCACTAAAAATCATACTTCATTCTTACATCGCGAAAATAATCTTCCTTTCTTGATAGAAAATGACGTTAACGATTACGTTCGCTCGCCGCGTAGATAAATCCTCCCGAAAAATGAATGGCAACGCAGAGCAAAAAATTGCGATAAAATTTTAGGTCAGTTTACGGAAATAAAAGCACGCGTATTCGTTTTGTGCTAGTCAAACAGAAGCGATCTGAAATCTCAACGTGGCAATGCATCCAATCCATTCCGATAAAAAAAAAAATCTTTTATACAAAATCGATCACTTCGTAACTTTTCTGTGTTTCGAAATTCAAACGAATATTGAGAATAATTAAACCATGTAACGGAAAGGAGGATCCAGAAACACGATCGAACGTTGGAAGAGACTCGAAGCATATTTATGATTATATTCTACCATCGAAGATGAAACTTGGAGAGTTCCGTAATCGCGTCATAAAACGATAAAATTTCCCGCGACCGAAAGCCTGTAAAACGCAACGGTAAATAATAGAATACGTAAACGATTTGTCACTGTCTTGGGCACAACTTTCCAAATAATTGATCTAATTGTTTTGCTGGTATTAAATCCGCCGTGCGACACAATTGGGCGCTTGTTTATCACTGACGAGTCCAAGTTGTTGCACGCTTCCGGGGGCTGGAGTAGCAAGTTCCGCAAATATCGTGAAACATATTCACGGAACACGCGACAGGACTGGCGTTTGTTGCCTTCCGCGGGCGACTCGAGAGCGTATTTTTTGTTTCTCCGTTTACATCGTGCAAGCCGGGCTGAGAACACTCGAGAACTTTCCACTCGTGTTCACTCGTTTTCCAGTTGTAAATTTCTTCGCGTATCGCGGACCATCGGTGCACACGCGTCCTCGCATTCCTGGCCCCTTCTCGCGGCGAGCGTTTTCCGCGTTTCTTACCGCCTCCTCCCCGACAACCTCTAAATTTTCCCAAGTGTTCGTAACATCCAGCGGGTACGTAATTCTTTTGAATTCACGCACGACCCGTTTCCACGGCCGAACCGCGAGTCACGTTTCTCGCGTGCGACGCTGAATCCGTGTCTTCCCCCTGACCCCCTTGTCGCAACACTTCCCGACAAAAACTTCCCGGAATAAAATTAAAAAAACAAAACACTAACCTTTAACGCCTTGAAGAACCTGGAACGGAGCGACTAGCAGCAGGAGGATCGTGGCGATCGTGTCCTTCCCCTTAGTCCTGCTGCGTAAATCCCGTCTGCCGGCCATCCTCGACAATTCGGCGAACTCGAAAACAAACCGTAACGCGATTCGATACTACGCGCACCACATATGTCTCACCACTCCACCGTGATCTATCTCTCCTGGCGGTCACACGCGGCAATCACACCGAAAAACAGAGTTCGCCAAGAATCACACCGGTCCGATGGTCGCCGTGGTGACCGCTGAATCCGTGCTTCTCTCGCTGGGGTCGGCGATCGGTCTGTCGGACATCTGATTCCTGGCGCTGAAAGCTGCCGCTGGCTACCTCGGGAGAAACGGATGCGTCGGGTCCGGAAGGATGCGCCTCTCGTAGCGGTCAGGATCCGTTGAGGGGGGGGCCCCGCTAAAAGCGTGTCAGCGTAACACAAGTAAAGCGCGGAGCACGTGCACGCTCGATAGAACGGCGGGCCAGCGTGCCGGTCGCGCGGTGTCGCGGTACAAAGAAGGAACAGAGACGGATTCCAAGGAGAAACCGAGAAAGTCGGGCACCTAGGGGCGTCGACAACCGCGAACACGAAGGGATCTCTCCTATGTGGGGGATCGGTGGAACGATCCCGTGTATCCGTCGTGCGTCGGTTTTTGGTTAGGTACGTCGAGATACGTTGTCGCGGACCGACTTCGATTCTAGCGTCGAATGCGTCTGGCCGAAAAAAAACCGCAACCGACCGACGAGCGTTAGAGATAGAGACAGCGAGAGAGAAAGAAAGAGAGAGAAAGAGGGAACGAGCAACGACGTGCCGGGAAGACGAGACGACGCGAACGCGATACGACCGATTCGTACGCTTACCCGAAACTAAGCGATTCGTGGCGAACGGCGCGCACCTGTCGTTCCGCGGGTCGCTGCGCATGTCCCAACGAAGGAAGCCGACTGCTTGCCACCGGCAGCTCGTCCCGTCCGGGGTGGGTGTAGATACGAGGGAACCGTCACAGTCTCTGCATCAACGCGGAAAGGTGGTGGGAAGTCCTGCGCTACGAATTAAGCTTTTTCCCCTGCAACTTCAACCTCTGCTCGACCGCGTGGCGCGCCTTGCCGCCACCGAATTCCTAATCGCCAACCCGCCAACTCCTTCCGCCGCTCCCACCGAAGAATTTTACGCTCCGACGATTATTTCTTTTTTGGAGAGGGAACGCTTCATTAAGAGATCCTCGTTGCCCCGTGCCTCGTGAGTTTTTAAAATACACAGTAAGAATGCTATTAACGGGCAGGAATATTCCCAGTAATTTTTAAATGTTTGGTTAGAATGACACTTACAAACAGATTTCGTCGATTTATGGTACCTCGGTCTACTTTTACCGTCCCTTTCGCGCAAATAGCATGCACTTCTTTCCTTGCTGGTAGTAATTGCATAAAACTTGGATCACGGTATTTAAATATCAATGAAACGTAAAAACTCTGATACGTCGAAACTCTTGAGTTTACAATTCGCTGGTTACCATGTCGTAACGTGCGGTGTTGCCATTGGTCGGTGACGAAGATCGGTGGGTCATCTCCGCCAATAGCGACAATGCATGCGAAGATAGAGCCAATAGACTGTAAACTAGGGAATATAAACACTTGTTAGCCTGTTTCTCGCAGATGGGCAATGTTTACAATATGGCGGCGGTAACCTTCTTAAAATATCGTTGCAAAAGCTTGAGATATATCTTGCGAAATATCAATTTTTTAAACGTTACATCGTAAATATTGATAGTTGTGATCAAAAATATACGAGCCTATTTATCAAACCGTGTCTTTGGTATATGTAAAGCCGCGTTCATCTAATTACGGGTGTATACACACTCGCTAATGCGCCGAACACGAAATTAATACTATACTCTAATTGTCGAAGACTTTCAATATCCCTGCTGTAATCATTTTACGCAAACCTGATAGGCATTGCATAACATTCGACGAATCGTACCATTGTCGTGTAAATGGAAACGTAGATGATTTTCAAATCCACTTTTCTCGATAACTAAACGTTAGAAGTGAGAATTCAACACAAATTGGAAGATTCGTTTTGCGATGCAAAGTTTAACAATTATGCAGTGGCAATTTATTTATTCTATTAGCGAAACAAAATATCGACAGAAATAGGTGCAACCGCCAACGATGCGTCCTAACCTAACTAATCAGTCGTAATAGGACATTACCGATCGGAAAACAGAGACGTCTGAGCTGATAAAGTAATTAAATGCTGTCAACCTAACTTGGTTTATCCCGCGCTACCCATTGTGTACCAAAACTCTATCTAATTACATCAATTTATTTACGTTCGATAAACAGCTTTCATTCAATTAGTCGTTGTACTTAATATTTTTACACTATTGTAAAAACTGTAAAATATATTATTTAATTCTTTAAAAATAGTAATAAAATTTTGTTATCAAACAAACATAATAAATGATCAGATGGCAGTAGTGTATGTGTATCTACCACAATATGAGCTACATGTACTACACTGTTCGAGGCAGCCTGATTTAGAGTATCTTTAAAGAGGTGTTTGTTCTAAATGAACATTTATTTTGGTATCTAGAACGCACTATGGTACAGTGTAACAAACATGGGCGTCTCTCCCCAATTCGGTACAACTTTCTACAAAAATTTATATCTTCCAATACGATATATTATAAATTAAACTTTTATCTCAATTCATTGCAATTGCAAAGATGAGCTTCGACAAATCGATATCCAATATTTTACCTACATCGTACAAAATAATAAAACATACATATAATTATATTTATTTAATCACGGTATTATATTTATGCAACAATAATTAACAAATGCCAAATATGAAAGATTAAAATAGACGTTGGTTAATAATAATATAATTATTTGTAAATTCAGATATGTTTAACTTGTTAATGCGTATTCAGTTCCATCTAACATTGCTTTATTATTATTATAATATTTATCCCCCGATATCTAATTATAATTGTGACACGTATTAAGTTAAGCAATCAAGGATGGAATTACCGGTCGCGCATAATTTAATCATATTAACATTTTATGCAGTAACACTGAGTATTAGTGACGCGAAAGCTTTTATTTACACCGTGAATATTATGAAATCACTGACCATTTATAATTTACGTATCCTTTTCTATTAATTTCAGTATCGCTTCCGTTCCCCTTAAATTTCCGTGTTTACGTTAACAGCTTTTACTTAATTTTTTAAACGGATACGAAGCTCCTAGAATCGAGCATCGATCATGAATCCAGCGGTGAAGTATGTGTACACAAAGTTGGAGAGCCAAACGTTTTAAACGAAGATTTTCCACATAACGCAAACGCTTGCCGAGTGCGAACATCCTCGAACCAGAGATTTCTCTTTCATTAATCACCATGAATTCAGATTCCTCTGTGCTATTCGCCAAGTGGTTCGTGCTCTCGAGACTGCTCGAAAATTCTTCACACAAAACGGAATAAACTCTTGTTCAAAACTACGCTACTTTGCGTTTCGTTACTTGGTCCCTCTAAAAAAAAACACATTCTGGATTTTACATTTCGACATTCCACTCTTGTCTTCATTTTCAAAGCAAATTGCAGATTATTTTCTGTGCTTTTAGCGACCGATTTCATACGTTTCTCACCATAATTATCTAAATGTCAACGCGATACTCTACCAACGAGAGAAACATCTCGAAAATTTAATATAATTCTGGCACGAAAATGTTGAACGTATTTCAAAGGCGCGTGTTTTATACTTTAAGCGACTGTGGGAACGATCTTTTCAACGATTCCCTCGGGTGTTGGATAGCGACATGTTTTATAGTGATCGTCCAAACTTCTAAATTTCAACAACTTCGCGTTCGACGCCGTAAACAGTAATTGACAGCGTCGTTTGTTGACGACGTTACGTTCGCGACCGTGTTCGTTGGTGTAGAGCGGACCTTGAATAAAGAATTGGCTCACAACAGGTTGTTAGAGACTTGAGGATATCCAAGTATCATTAGTTGCCTTTCTGTGGTCACTGGAACACCTGTTTCCTATTTGGTCACGCTACGTGATTTCTTCATTGTACGGAGACCGATGAAATATCAGGTCCAAAGCGATAGCTTCGAAGTTGGGGGTCAAATAGATTTTTGGAACAGGTAGTTACGAATAAATAAATTGTAAACAATATTTGAGACAGTAAATTTTGGAATATTCCCATAAATGGTTTCACGCGTGTCGGAAATTATTTTTAAAGATATTTGTTTGGTAGATGATTTTACGAAATACAATGAAAAATGTGGATCTTTTCGAAGCCTGCAAATCGGAATCCCCTTTTAAATTATAAACTCAGGGGGTCGGAATAGGCGTTAACCTAATCCCATTAGCGCCCAACAAAGGAATTTAAGTTAAGCGCAAGGACCGCTGGGGCGCGAGGCTCTCACCCAATCACAAAAGGCGCCCCACCCCACTTCGCGCCCGCGACACCAATTAGATTATAAAAACGGAAACAAACTCAGAAGGACGGATCGTTATCGTAATTACTTGGCGAAAGTGATTACTCAATTAGACTATCTGATCATCGTAAAGATTTTAAGAATTTACTATTAAATTAACGTTTATTTTTCTTATACTTTCAGTGTCTGCTTCTTCATGATCCGAACTATGTTTTAATAAACATGTCCAACCGTGGTCCGTGAAATATTGTTAAATAGTTACTTGATCGAATGGATCACCCGGTATGCTTGTATATACAATGTTCCGTCTGTACCCGTAGATACCAATCCTTTTAACGTCCTTTTGTTTCTGCCCGAGTGGTTAAAGGATTCCCTTCAACCGAAACTCCTCAAATTTCCAGTTAATTATCTTGTACAGCGTAGCGAAACAATTACTTATTTCTGAAGACGTGGACGGAAAAGCACTTAATTAAAACTCCCGTTCCGTTGAAATTATTTCTTAGAAATCGTTGCGTTTCAATTTCCCGACAGCGAATACCATTTGCACACCTGTGTGCTTCGTCCACGTTCATAATAACGAGCGTATTTATCACATTTATTTAGCAAAATCGGATTCGCGGATTCTGAAACGGAAATTTTAAATCCAATTTCAGCGTTGGCTAACGGACTGCCTGCCTTCGAGTGACAAAATCGTGATCGCTGATTCACTTATAAGAGACCAATTTACTCTTTTGTCTCTTAATTTTCCCCATTGATTCTATTTTCGAACTACATATTTCTCTACTTACTTTCTTTCCTTCGATCGAATTATTACTATTATTTATTATTATTAGTCTTGGTATACATTCGCGAGGAGATCGTGCTTTCAGTAGAGTAGAAGAGAATTTTTAGTAGCAAGCACTTCCTGCATACAGAGAGCATAAATTAGGATCTATGTTGCGCTTGGAAGAATTAAATGTGGCAATTAGGGAGAAACGGCCTGAATTATCCAATAGGATAACGTGTCCGGTTTCGGGGAGGATAACGCGAGACCACATGTTTCGCTGCGGAGTCGGAACATTCTAACCGAACTTAGATACGTTCTTCCCCATCCTCCTAGATCGTAGAATTTATTATCACATAACCATTACCGATTCTCTAACGACCGTAAAAAATCAACGACACCTTTTTCCCCCATTGCTAAATAAAGATATGAGTACTTTGATTTTTCTGTTTCATAATTTTGATCGAGATACATGTTCATTTTCTATACCATGAAATTTTAAGGGGATCCTTGTAAGAAGGCTCTAATCTTCGACTTGGTAATGGCTTTAGAGCACATTGTTAATTCGATGGTCAACAATGGTTATTTTATGGTCATTCGTGGTCAACAATGGCTACTTGTGGCTAAC